CTTTGGATGAAACTATAGTCTCCAGCTCACTATTGGATGTCGATTTTGCCATTGCCGATCTTCTTCACGACTTTGCTGGGCAAAGTGGATAGAGCTTCGTGTTTCGTGTCGAGATTATTCGTTTCTCGCATCACTTTCCCTTCTTGGGCGTTTGTGGTTTTTGTGATAGGGTAGAATGTGTATTGTATTCTGTATGTTGTAATTCCGGGGTGTTCTCCTCCCGATACTGTTGTCATGGCCACCATTTCCCGCCCTAGGCCAAGAAGCCACTTGATCCTGGCTGTGGAGAGTACATATAAGCACTAGTGACACGTGGGATTTCATGATGAACTGACGGAGACTGTGCTTTATTCTCCTTTTTGATCTATTTCTTCTTTTCACCGTACATGGTCGCTAGCTTCGTCCTGGTTCTTTTTCTAGAATCTGGTGACTGCACAGGGCCATAGGGTGTGGCTTATCTCAGGCCTCCGGGTTTCCATGGTTCCAAGGTTGCAGGGTTCCAGGGTTGCAAGGCTGCACGATTGCAGGGTTGCTGGGTGAGATGATTTACGCAATAATCCATGGAATTTGTACACATTTATTGTGGATGGTTACATGACATCGCATTTATTGCTCTATCGTTCAATGTATACAGAAGCTGATTTCTGAGTTTAGTTGTTCCATTATCCTCAGTCAGCTCTTTTAGCCCCAGAGAACCCGATCTGCCTGGGTCGTCTCTGGTCTGTGCCGTATAGCCGTGTGAGTAAACATATACATCTGGTACAGTGTACAAAAGTCCAGGCTCTATGGAGTAGACTTTGATTAGATCGGTCCACTAATGTCCCGGTTAAACACAGCCGTCTTAGTCTTGTAATTTGATAGGGCGGATATGCAAAGCTCGGATATAGGTGGAGAACCATGTCACTGCCAGATCCCGGTAGAAGACTTCTGGCCTATCGTCTCTTTTTCTCTCGAAGATTTTCATCGGCAGATAGTATTGCCAAGGGCTCACTCATGGTTACTGTGAATTCAAACTAGATCTTGCAGAATGTGAAATTTCCCACTGTGGATCCTGATCAGCCCTGACGGCCTGATCTGGCACGGAATCTGTTACACAGCAGCCGATCAAAGGATATGCAGTAAAACATGGAAATGTCGCCATCTCTCGATGTAATACAGCCTATGATTTAGCGGGAACGGGGTTTCACTGCAAGATCATGAATGGTTGGATTGGATGTCTGATGTGGGTTAAGGAAGAAGGGGGTGACCAGGGTGTGTGTGTGTGTGTGTGTGTGTGGATGTTTCGCATGGGAAGATGTGACATGGAGGATTCTTTGAACACGGAAGAAAAAACACCGAGTGGAAAAAAAAATTTTAAAAATCAGAGTGGACAAGTCCAAGAACCAACAGTGAGACTCATTTCTTATTCGTCAGGATGAACAAGACTCCCAAGAACCATAGCACCACCTCCTGCGACTTGTGATCATAAGCGACCGCCGCGATCATGAGTTGAATGCATGCGCGTTGACATCCGGGCATTGCGCACCGCCTTTGAATCACCCATGACACCTAAAGTGGTAAACAGTCAAATGCACCGCAACCTCTATAACTATCGGTGAGAACACTGATCAGGTCAATGTCCGCACGTGCGTGGTACTTCCTGCCCCAGCCCACACCAATCAGCCCCCGAGCATTGACACCATAGCGAAGCACTAATGCTGCCATCATCACGCCGAAGCCAGAGACCCGGGTCATTAGCTCCGGGATCGGGCCTTCTGGCGTGAGCTATTTCTGCACTTTGATGTTTCAACTGATTTGAGGCCAGCCTGTCGGGCGTTGGATATCGGATATTTGATATCTTCGGAATGTGTCACTTCGGGATTTGTTGCCTGTGGAGGGTGCGTGGTTCAAAAAGGAGGGGCTGGGGGGGATTATGGATCTTGGTGTGTAGGATTCGTCGCAACTTGAAGGTTGAGGTCGTATTTGCTTTTTTTCATATTGTTTTTTGGCAGATGTCAGACTGTGACTGCAAGGACTAGGCCTGGTTTAGCAGGTAGTTGGCAGAATAGTCTTTTATTCATGTCTTGATGAATTCCTCTGAGTTCTGAGTCGATGTCATCATGAGCAATGATTGCTATAGGTAAGCTGAGAGTATAATCATCATGCGTAACTCTGGCGTACTCTAAACACCCATTTGGGCAGGTCGATTTTGTCTTTGAATATTATTAGGACCTGCCAAAGTATAATCGGGCACTATCATTTAGTCGGCTTGGCATTGGTCTTCAGGCATACCATTCTATGCGACTCTTCAAGGAGTTCCCCCAAGACTGCAATATCACATGAAGACCTGATTTATCCCGGTTAATTATGACGAAGGATCATCTTCGATTATCTTCGATGTACCTCCGACTGCTGCTGGCTATTCGTGCCCAACTAATAGCGAGTAGTCAAGACTCCCCAGGCACAGGAACCTGACGACAACTTGCACATCTTCACTCGGTTTGGCAACAGCCTTCCCTCGAGAGTTAAGGTCCGCATTGGACCATGGCAGGGGGGCACAGGCTTGATAGAAAGCGGATTCTCTTCAGAAATGACGTCGGCCTTGTATTGTAATCCCGTCTGAGAGACAGAATGTTGCACGGGTAATTCGTGTTCGGGAGACGTGCAGCCGAAGTCCAGGAAATCCAATATCTCAGTGAAATCAAGGGGTAAACTCATCTGTCCCTGTAATTTATTTTGGGTAATTGGTTTACTGTAATCAATCCAGTGGATTGATCAAGTACCTCTTGGTCTTTACTTTTTTTTTTTTTTTTTTTTTTGGTTGTAATTTTTTTTTGGATTTTCTTTTCGTTTATTTATTCTATTTTTATTTTTGATTTCCTTTTGCAGAGCCTCACCTCTTCACGGAAACTCTCACTGGTTCTGTCCGCCCAACCAGCATTGAGGTATTAAATTACAACTGAAAGTGAACCATGGAACTGAAGCCATAATTTAATTTCATTTCCGTACACTTCGGGGTAGCCGTCAAATGTGGGTTAATCGAAACCGGAGAACACGGAGATGCGGAAATTCTTCAAGAGGTTGATATTCATTCCCCTGTTCCTAAGGTGAAAGGTAAAAAATGTGTGAAGATTACGATGCCTGGCATCACCGGGATCTGCCCGGTTGTATTTTATCTTTGGTGATCTTCGACATGTGTTAGGCCGCGTTTCCCGGTAGGCATGGGGCTATATCTGCAGGAGGTAGTGGGGTTGGTAGTCTTGTCTTGGATGTTCTGAGTCCACATGTAGAGTAATGTTCAACCTTGCTTTCAAAGGCGGTTCTACTTTTTGGTCCAGCGCCGTTGGAACGCATGTGCGATCATCCTGCATTGAATTCTATCTTGTGTCAACTAGAAGCTGTTCGCCGTAAATGTTGGGTTGGCTAGCGTTTAACGCTATACTAGTGACCGCGATTGGATATATCTCCTGCAGTATGCAGAGGGTACTGTTTTGGGGCATGCAGGTAGACTGATTCGTCCAGCGAATAACACCGCGGCCTACGAACTACACTAAACACCGGTCTGTACGGAGAACTTCGTAGCAAGATGTACACGTTGATGTATACAATACAGACTCTGACCCTCAATCGTCATCATCCAACTGTCGGAGAAATGAACTAAACTAAACACATCCTCCGTCCAATAGACTCTCCAGCTACCAAGGACATCGAAACAAGGTCGACACACCGACATTTATATCGGAACACCTGACCCAACAACATCATCATCAACACAATCAAAGGAAGAAATCTCCCTCAACCAACTCCCACATCTCTACCCACGTAGAAAAACCCTCAAAATGACTTCATCTGCATGTTTACCCCGCAATACGCCGGCCCCCAGCCCCAACCCTCAATCTCATCACATCTCAGGATGACTGCATCGCACCAAAAATCCAATCCACGTGGCGCGGTAACTAACTCCTTCCTATCCTGAGATTAAACAAGCGAAAGCTGCATCGTCACCCAACACCGCCCACTTCTCCTGGTTGGTTCCGGCGTGAATCGGAGAATTGAACGTTGGCCCACACACCCCTTTCGTGCGATTGTACCTTCGATTGCCTGATCACTTTACATGGAGTTCTTTTGACTACACTCCTTGAACGAGGCGCATTTACTTGAGATATTTTTTGAGTTTGGACAAGGGTGGGCAAGGATGGGATAGCGCTCGGGGGGGAGGGAAGGTAGGTATGGAGTTGGTAAATGGGACGGATAGTGGGGGGCGGGGTTTGAATTCGGGCTTTTTGGCGCTGTTGGCTGTTGGTTTTGGTGCTACTGGTTGCAAAGGACTATCTTGTATATATACATTGCTACTCGGCTGGGAATACTGCATAAAATGGTGGTATGGGTGCAGTGCAAAGGAGTATGGGTTGCGGTGGTTCCGTTTCAGGTTTCACTTTCAATGCAGGATCGGCGGTGAGAGAGGAGGGGTTTTCTCTCATCTTGGTTCTTTGTCCTCGGAGATAACTCTTAGGTCCACTGTGAATGCATGGGTGTCGAGTAGGGTAGATTTATGGTTTAGAAGCCATCTCGTACATAGAGTGTAGGTATACGGCAGGTCTCACCTAAGAATCACAACCTGTCAAGCATCGATGCAACGCCCGTTTGCCTATATTCCGACTGGATGGACCAGTTTCGGGTATTCAGCCTACGGTGTGCGGAGCTGGTAGAGATAGCTTGAGCTAGGCGTTTCAACATTATTGCAAGCCATGTGTTTCTCCTCTCCGGCTGGTGCACCCTATGTGTTTGTTTTAGCTAATTAGCCAGGTCTTAACTCTTAGTAACCGCAGTAGATAAGAAAGTAACAGACGAAGCTTGCATTGTTTTGATCAAAATATGAAGTTGAAATGTCCGAGGAAAATCAAAGCAAACACCCGATCCACGGAGCCCGGCAGGAAGAAGAGCAAACACAGAGAGAAGAAAAGGGGATGGGTTGCATAGCGGGCTAGTTGGATGCACGCCATAAACAACCAAATCCGGAATCAGTAGTCTTCATCCGAGTCTACGTGCCCGCGGTAGCGAGACATGTACCCAGTCCCGCCATCCTCGCTCGCTGAATCCTCGAAGTCAAATTCATCGTCATCAGACGACGCTTCTTCATCTGGGTAATCGTTGGCGGGGTTGTTTTCAGCTGTGATCGAAGAGGGTCAGCGGAATTCGATTGGTTGGAATGGAGAGGGACGAGAGGACAATCCACGGGTAAAGAGAGGCCAAAAGAAGGGGAGGAATCACATACCATTAGAGTCCGCATCCTCACTATCCCACTCTTCCTCGTCATCTTCAATAAAGTCGTCCCAGTACTCCTCGTCCTCGGCCGTGATGACAATGACACCAACTCCGGGCTGAGTCTTGGCGATATGGTTGTGCTGCTGGTCAGACTCGTATTCGGCGAGCGGATTCTTCAGCATCTCGGCTTCTGAAAGCGGGCGCCGGACGTAAACATCGTAGACATAGTCGCCTTCGTCATCCTCCTCCACAGCCTGTTCAATTACTTCCGAAGACTGCGGCGGTGTAGGTGCAACTCTCGGTTCCTTAGGCTGCCGGGGCTGGTGTTTCAAAGGGGACATAGGAGCCGTGCTGAAAGCTTGCTGTAAAGATGCAGGCGGGGGAGGGGCCGGCTTTCCAACGACCCGGGGATCGAGGTCCATTCCATGGTCTTGGTCAGCCTCGCGCTCGAGCTCCAGCGCGACCTGCTCGAGATCATGAGCCAGACGTTCAGATTCCTGATCCCAGCTCCTTTGCAGTGTCTGAGCGGATTTCTCCAAGGTATCAGATAGATGCTGTTTCGCAGCCGAAATGACACCCTTGCGCTCCTCACGCCACCGTCTCTCGGCCTGGTTAACAACAGGTCGTTTGCGTGGTTTAACCGGTGACGGGGGTATGGTGTCTGTGTCCTGGACAAGTTCCTTAGGCTTTAACGAGAGAGCCCGTGCATCCGCAACCAGGTCCGAGACCATGGAAGCCTTGCGGGTGTGCGCATTCCGCTGCAGCTGCTCAACCAGCACAGCCACACCAGGTGCAGGGCCACCAGCGCGTCGCTTTTGAACCCCCCCAGGGGAACTTCTTAGGGAGTCAAGATTTGAACGTGAGATCTGGAAGCGGCGCAGGGTCTGCGCGCGGCTGGAGGATACATCCGCCGATGTTGGGTTGCTGTCATGTAAGGCTGGTTGGTGGGGCACATCAGAGCTGGCCGCAGAGTTGGGCTGCAGATCAGTGAACGGAGAAGGGCCCCCGTAGACGGCACGTCTGTGCTTTGCCTCTGCTTCTTTGCGCACGGTTACAATTCGCTGCGCCTCGCGGAATTCAGCACCCGGCGAGGTGGCCCGCACCGTAGGCACGCCTATCGTAGATGCTGGCGCGCGCCGGTTAACATGAAGACTGCTCACTGAGCGTGGGCTCTTCAACAGCCGCTGCACGACTGGCGTTGTTGGTGGACTTGGAGATGCATCTCCACTCCCGCTCTCGCTGGCTTTCAGAGTGACTCTGTGGAAGACGAAGTCAGTGAAGCGCCGCTTGGTTTGATGGAGTGCGGATTGAATGACTGGAGTAAGTTAGTGTGTGTTGTCAGTGTGTCGGTCAAAGTTTCATCTCCCAAGGCAACCATTTGCATGTATCACTTTTAAGGGGAATGCATTGCGGGGCAAAAAAACAAGAGGGTTGTCCTCGTACATAAGGTCTCGACGGGCTCTTCCTCGCGCCGACGCTTGATGTTGATCTGCTCTGGCGGAAGCGCCATGATGCAAAATTAATACTGATGTTGCTATGGCTAGCTTGGGGTTGGGGAGGAGAGACGAATGGATGAGGCGGTTTGAAGCATCCAATTTGATGTGTCTGACCTTTGCCCGATATGGTTCGGTCAGTCACGTGACTCAAATATCGTGGGAGTCAACGACAGATTTCTGCATGGGAGCAAAGTGAGGGAAACCCAAAAAAGGAGCGACTGGATGTATCTACCTGGAATGTTAAATGAACAGGACAGATACAAGAGAACAGGACGTTTGACTTGGTTCAATGTTTTCACGTACGAATTCTGTTGAATCTCAATTATTGTCGATAAATGATCATTTACATTACTAACTAGTGTTTCAAGTTTGGTGGGTAGATGGCCATTTTCTGCTATCAAGAAAAAGCCAATGGGATGAAAGTCCCAAGTGGTCGCTATGCACTGCGATAATCGCCGACACGACTCGTCCCTCTCCATGGTCATCATCCGGTGAAACATCCGGCGTACTCACAGCCCCAAAGCAAAAAAAAAGAAGGAAGAGACTCAAGGCCAGCTAGCAATACAACGTGATAAAAGAAGGGAAGATGGCATGAGAAGATTAATAGGGGAATATAAAATCATTGCGAACGGAATATGTCCGGACGAAGAAAGGGGAAATCCAAAATGTCAAAAAAAAAGTGAAGAAAAAACAAGGGTTTGAAAGTGAAGAGCAAAGAGTCCGGAGTGAAAAAAAGAAGAAGAGATAATGACCAATACATGAAACGAATCAGATCAAAATGGGAGAGGAAAGACATGACAATCAAGAAGGGACTATATATAAGAGAGAAAATGGTGGCATTAGGTTCACCGAGAACATTGAGTTAAGGTTGCATCCTTTGTGGAACGTGCGCAGATTATCATTTGGCTCCGATCTCCTCTTCCGCCCAGCCAGGCAGCGAGTTTTCGTTTTGAATAGCCAGGCCAAATGCCGAGTGGTTGAGTCCACTGAGAGCAGAGAAGCCGGAGAAGCTGCTCTGAGGCTGGTGTGCCGCACCTGCGCGAGTGTGGCCGGATTGACCTGAGACCGGTCCAAAGGGCTCCTGGGAGAATGAGGGCAAACTGACAGCCCGGGAGTGCGAAGCACGGGGTACGCTAAGGCTGCTGGTGCTTGCGTGGTGACCGTGTCCTGATCCATTGCCCACACTTAGGTAACTGTTGGTGGACTTGTGCTGGTGCATAGGCGGGTCCATGTGTCCATTCGAGATGTCGCCGTTGTACAACGACTGCTGTGACTGAGACTGTATTTGGAAGCTAGAGAGCACCATATGATCGTTTAGATGATTCTCCTGATCCTGTGCCTGATGAGCAGACATCTGGTTCAGGTACATGGTCAACGGATTGCTCGAGCCGACATTCAGAACCCCAGAGGGAGAGGTCACATTCTGCAGCGGATGGCGGTGTTGTCCATTCTGGGAGCCGGTGGATCCTGATGCCGGGGAAAGGGCAGGGCGCGTCGGGCTGGACTGGGAGCCAGACTGGCTGAGATTCTGCTGGAATCCATTAAGAACGGATGGTGGTGACTGGCCTTCCATGCCGGATCCGTTGCGGTTCTGCTGTCCGTTCGGGGTGTTTCCGGCCTGACGCGGTGGGTTTCCGCAGCGATCCTTGCCAAAGTTAATCTTGAATCGCCGGTAGTCCTCCCGATTGCGCATTCCCTCAATAGCCTTGATTGCATTGGCGATATTCGTGAAGTTGACAAAGGCACAACTCTTCTCGCGCAGTGTGTTCACTAGTTCAATCTCACCGTACTCCGAGAAGTCCTGGCGAAGGCGTTCCTCCGTCCAGGCCTCATCTAAGTTACCAACATAGACATTGCGGGATGCGCCGCCGCTGACTGCCAACGCAATGGCGGGTGGGAGGGGGCCGGAGTGTTTGCCCCATCCAATCTTCAGGCGTCGGTTATGGATCATCAGCCCCTGCAGGTTGCTCAGGGCGTAGAAGGAAGCAGCCGAGGTGGGGTCGATGAATGTCACGAAGCAAATGTGCTTATCCGGAATATATCGAACATGGTGCAGCAAGCCTCCGCGGACAACATTGCAAATCTCTTCAATGGTAGTTTCGGGGTGGATGTTTCCAAGGTAAATGGTGCGATTGCCGAGATTGTTAACACCACCCGCCGTTGTTGCCACGGCGGCCGCGGCAACAGACTGCTGCGCAAGTGCATTAGAAATCAAGTCACGATCCGCCGTGTTCAGCACGTGCGCGTATCCCGGTGCGATTCCCAGGAACTGCGCAGCATTTTGCTGCTGAGTCTTGGACACATACGCACAACGGTCCTTGCCGTAGAATACCCGCTTTGGCGCTTGCCATTGCTGCTCCTGGGGGAGCTGGGTGACAGCCTTCATGGCATTACTGATCGACAGGAAATGGACGAATCCAATCGCCTTCTCCTTAACGATCTTCACGGTATCAATGGGCCCAAATTTGCTCAAATCCTCCCGCAGATCATCCTCAGATGTCTCCTCGGCCAGATTTCCAAGGTACACGTTACGTGACGCGCCAGACTGTTGAACCGCCAGGGCGACCGAGGTAGGGACCTGTGACGGCTTGCCCCAGCCGACTTTGATGTCATTTCCCTTGATGGCCAACTTCTTCAAGATAGCATCTGAATGGAAATGGGTGGCGGAGCTGCTGTCCAAAAAGGAGATAAAGGCACAGTTCTTGTCAGGGAGCAGACGCACCGACTCAATTTGACCGCTACGCACGTGATTTAAAATCTCCTCGGCAGATGTTTCAGCCGGGATGTTTCCAAGATACACGGTACGGCTGGTTCCTGAAAGCATGCCCGGGGCCACGGAAGCCTGGGGGCTTCCGAGAGCCGCATTTCCCATACCTCCAAGACCATTGATCGGCGATTGAGGTCCCATCATTTGGGAGGCACCCATGCCGTCAGGTGACATCATTCCATACAAACCGTGGTTTTGCATTCCTTGCGTTGGGCTGTGAATATGGTTCTGGTTGTTTTGGACGTGTCCATTGCCATTGGCCTGTGGGAAGCCACCAAAATTGGCGAATTGAGGCGAAGCGAAAGCCGATGGAGTTCCTGGTTGGAAGGGACTGCCTACTAGCAGCTGGGAGGGGAGCAGGGGGGTGTAGTTCATGTCGAAGCCGGATGCCATGTCGGAGTGTTGGCTGGCGGCGGTGTTTATAGCGGGGATATTAACGCGACGAGCGTTCCGGTCCGAGAATCCTTGAATAGGGTTGGGGTGGTTGTTGTTGTAAGCTCCGTGGGAAAAGCCAGTGTCACCGTTCAGCACGTATTTAGGCCCGGCAAGGATTAGACGCGAATTGTTCGGGATGCTCGATACATCCGAGGCTTGCATGGCGAGATAAATCCAACACTTGTCCAAAGACAAGAACCTAGTCTTAGTCGGGGATAGGAGGCCCTGACTACCAGACTGAGAGGCTCTGAGAAGGGGGGGGAAGGGAGGGAACAAAAAATATAGAGGGAGGATTATCAGATCACCATTCAGGGGATGACACCACGGCCAAGATCACAGGGAAAGATAGGGAGGATTCGAGTGGAGAAGAAAGAAGAATATCCAAAGAAGAAACGAAGCTCTTTCAAATGTAGACGTGTCTAAAATGAAGTTCAAAAGTCAATTGGAATGTTTCATTCAATCAGGTTGAAGTTGGGGAATGGGGATGGAGACAAACCTGTCCTTTTCTTTTTGTCTCTCTTGGAGAATGCCACTTATATATCCCCCATGCAGAACACTTATAACACGCTTCTTGAGAGAGGACAAGGGAAAAGAAGAATCCAAGTCAAAGACTACCAACTCAAGTCATTAGCGTAAAGAGATTGGATGTCCAAAAGGGAAAGAAATGTTCTGAAGAAGAAAAAAAAAAGGGGGTAAGACTGGGGGAAATTGAGGCAAGAGTTGACAATTGATAGGCTTGAACTAGTAAATTTTTTGGAAAAAAAAGAAAAACAAAAAAGAAAAAAAAAAAAGAATCCTTACAAAATAAAGAACCGATGGAATAAGAAACACAAGTTAAAAAGGGCTAAACACAAGCGCGGAGAAAAAGGAATGAAAGGCAAGGAAGTGAATCCAGGTAAGGTATGGAGACGGAAAAAAAAAAAAACAATAAAAGGGGGAAGATAATAGGAGTGGGTTAAGGGGCGGACTAACTCTGTCGATATATTCATACTGAATCATAGGGAAGTTATATGCAGTTGTGCTCTATTGGATTGTATAGGTATATTGAATCTTGTCATATCTACGAAGTCCAATCTAAAGAAGACAAGAAAAGAGACTGTTTGGGTTCCCCAAACTTCGAGTTCCCGTGGCTCCTGCAGAACTGGATCAGGACCCAATCTCCTACCCCTGACGTGTTCATGAGATTAATATACCTTCTATGGAGTACGCAGTACGCAACCCAACGGTCATCTTTGAAATCCTCTTCTTTTAATCTCCGTAGGCCCTCCAAAAGACATGGGGAAAGTCTGGGTCCTATGACCTTCTTTATACATCTATCCATAACGACGGCAAAATTCTAAATCAGCTAGATCATGAGTACACTCTAAATAGGGAGGGACAACTATATCTACAGATATAAAGTTCTGACTGAACTCGTTAACGTCCAGCTTTAAATGTTTATCTGCGGGTGGTATATGGTATACAACATGCAGGTAGGTATAGTATCCTGTACCTCTTGTGGGTCAAATAGCATTAGAATTATATGAATGAATAGAGTCAAATCCCAGAATGATGTGTTTAGCGTCTGATATTTGTAAATCGATCATCCTTGGATCATAACCTCATCAACCCCAAATATACTCCGAAAGGTGTCCAGTCCGGGAAATGCCTCAGGCACCAATGGGGAATCCCGCATCTATCGGAAATTTACCCCTCTGCCGCAATGTGCGATTATTCCCTTGGACAACTTGCAATTCGGAGGAGACAAGAGTTCCATTATCTGCGTTATCAGGTAAGGCCTGCTCTTGCTCAGATTCTAATCTGTCCTACCTGGATTTTTCTTAGCCTTACGGTGTATGACTCACAGATTAGACCCTATATTAATCATCTCTCCCACAGAACTCTCCCGCAACTCGATCAGTTCCAGCCTCGGTCTGCAAGGACTAGAACCAACGCCATGGCATCTACCACCATCTACATCGACGAAGACGTCGGTAGAGATGAGTCCCCCGCCACCGGCACCGAGACCGCCCCCTACAAGACCCTCGTCCACGCCTACGTGGAACACCCCCCCACCACTGAAGGAATCCAGTACCTCACACGCAAGTCCCAGACCGACGCCGCCGGCGAGGATGTCGATCCCGCGGCCAAATTGGAGTGGAAGCCCGCCACCAAGTCGGCAATGAAGAAGGCCAACAACCTCTGGGAGCAGCGCAAGAAGAAGGCCGCCAAGGAACAGGAATTGGCCTTCCGCGAGAAGGCCGAGGCCGACAAGCGCCAGAAGGTCCTTGAGGACGCCAAGAAGATTGTGATCAAGGAGGACGCCTCCCTGCCGAAGCCCCTGCGCGTTCGTCTGGACGTCACTGACCCGGCCACCATCAAGCTGCGCACCTCTGAGTCCGATGAGGCTGGCACCCGAGTCCGCGTTCTGGGCCGAGTTCACCGGGCCCGCGCTCAGAAGGATGTCGTGTTCATCACTCTCACTGATGGCTATGGGTACCTGCAGTGCGTCCTGACCGGTGACATGGTCAAGACCTACGATATCATGACCCTCACCCTCGAAACCTCCATGTCCATCCACGGTGAGATGCGCGCCGTGCCCCCCAAGCAGCATGCGCCCAACGACCGCGAGTTGCACGCCGACTTCTTCGAAATCATCGGCAAGGCCGCTGGCGACAAGGAGGCTATTACCACGCGTGTGGCGCCGGACGCTGACCCGCAAACTCTCTACGACAACCGCCACTTGGTTCTACGTGGTGAGATCTCCTCCTCCGTTATGAAGGTGCGCGCCGCTACTCTGCGTGCTTTCCGCAAGGCCTTCCAGGAGACCCGCATGCTGGAGGTGACTCCTCCCGCCATGGTGCAGACCCAGGTCGAGGGCGGTAGCACTCTGTTCGGATTCGACTACTACGGCGAGAACGCCTACCTGACCCAGTCCTCGCAGCTGTACCTGGAGACATGTCTCCCCTCCCTGGGTGACGTGTTCTGTGTGTGCCCGTCTTTCCGTGCCGAGAAGTCGTTGACCCGTCGCCACCTGTCGGAGTACACGCACATCGAAGCCGAGTTGGACTTTATCACCTTCACTGATCTGCTCGACCACCTTGAGGATATCATCTGCCGCGTGATCGACTACACTCTGGCCGAGCCTGAGATCGCCGGATATATCAAGCAGCTCAACCCGGACTTCAAGCCCCCGTCCCGTCCCTTCCGCCGCATGAAGTACGACGATGCTATCCAGTGGTTGATCGAGCACGAAATCCCCAACGAGGAGGGCCAGCCCCACCAATTCGGTGACGATATTGCCGAGGCTGCTGAGCGTCGCATGACCGATATCATCAACCAGCCCATCTTCCTAACTCACTTCCCCGCCAATATCAAGGCTTTCTACATGAAGAAGGATCCTGAGGATCGCCGTGTCACTGAGAGTGTTGACGTGCTCATGCCCGGTGTTGGCGAGATTGTCGGAGGCAGTATGAGAATGGACAACTGGGATGAGCTGATGGCTGCTTACAAGCACGAGGGCATGGACCCCTCGCCCTACTACTGGTACACTGACCAGCGCAAGTAAGTTTTGATCCCTCGCCCTTCTACCCTTTTTTTTTTTTTTCAAATTTCTCTTTGGTTTCGACAATACTAACTTTTGAACAATAGGTACGGTACCTCTCCTCACGGTGGCTATGGTCTTGGTCTTGAGCGTTTCTTGGCCTGGCTGTGCGCTCGTTATACCGTCCGTGACTGCTCACTGTACCCCCGGTACACCGGCCGTTGCACCCCTTAGATCTGTCGAACCAAAAGTTATATGTAAGCATCGCGATAGGTCCGGGAATGTGGCGTGGGTGCTACAATGGATGAAGAACAAGTTTTCCTTCCAAGATCAATTTAACATGATTCTGTTTCTGTTTTACGTACCTAGGTACGGAGTATTTTACGTAAATGTGGCTGGTCTTGAAAACATGGATATCGACTTAGCCCTGCCATGCCCTGCCATGCCCTGCAAGGTTCTTTAAATTGATTCCCCACTGACACTATACGCGCAGACTACAGCCCCCTAAGCAATAGCATTCTTCTAACACCCTCATCTGAGCACCTATGTCCAGTCCACCCATGAACAGTCCTCGACAGATAGGATCTCCCAGAATTTAATTTCCAGGCCCAAGGGTCCCAAAGCAATCTCAACTCCCCACTCCCCAAACCTGTGCCGTTGCCGTTGACACCCAGCCCAAGTCCCAGGGACCTGGGATTCGGAGCCCAACCGAAACGGAAGCATGCATGCGCACACAGCCTCAACCCGAGTCTTGTGTGCATAGAAGCTTGAGCTAGATTCAAAACATGACCGTTCTCACGCGGCGTGACACGATCTGTAGTGCGTTCTGCATTTCCGCCACTCCCCGGCCGGTGGAAGGGAAGCATCTTTGTTGTTGGTGTTAAATTTGACGTTGGCGTTAGATTGATTTTGGATTTCTGCTACAACTACAGACATGGATTGAATCTGTTCGCCTGGTCTGGTGGTGCTGGTCCGCTGCGAACCAGGGTTGCGATCGGTAGGGAGCGGGTGTTGTCACGGCATGACTGTGATCGAGGATGGGACATGAAATTGTCATTAATGTATAGAAAAACTTCGTTGTCGAGATCGAGATAGACGAAGTCTGGTTATGGGCACGGGGGATCGAATCGGCGTGGTGTCGTCGTCCTGTGGTCGTCTCGGGTCGCGGGAAATTTTGTCCCTGGTCCGCCTCTCATCCTCTCTCCCACAGCCAACATGGAAAGATGGGTTAGTACAGACTTTTCGTTCAAAAGGAATGGATAGGGACTTGGAGCTTTTGTGACTGTTGTCTCTGGGAGAAGGAATGAGAGGGGAAGCGAGTTCCGGCCTCTCTCTCGGTGTGCAGGAACAGGGACGGACAGAGCAAGGATGAAATCCAAGTCGATCTCTGACATGGGGTTAGTACAGCCTCTTTTCAAAACGGACCAAAGCCTTGAGACACATCTAGCAGAGCGCAAGAGAGAAGAGGAGCATCTTCGTCCATGTTGTACAGGAGATGAAGCGCCAGGATGATCCACTACATCCTGTGCTTCCATTGCTCGAACCCGCACGGAGATAGAATCCGTCAGCCCACAGGGCTTCCCAGTCCACTCGAGCCCCTTTGAGAAACGACCCAAGCAACCCTATGTTGTAGGTCTCCAGCAGTGGATATTCTGTTTTCCAAAGTCCAAGGGAGCAGAGAATGGAAACCGTGTTTGTCCGTGTTTTTGATGGCGTTCATCGTATAGACACGTGCAATGTCGACGGCGTGGACATGTCTTTCCCCCATTGGAAAATCCCTCTTTTCCACGCTTTGACAACCGCCACTCACCCTCCATAAAGACAGACGCAGCTCAAATTCGGCACAGTTCACCCAGGGAGATGTCCTCATCGCGTTGTTCTAACTCGTCGATCTTGGTGCTCGCATCATTTTTTCCTGTTCTGATGTTTCAAATTTGATTCGTCGCCGGGGATGACATTTCCCCGTGCCACCGATGAGCTTACATCGGGTCCCACGCAATTTGGTTGGTGGCAAGCGGCTGTCAAGGTACTTCACTTTTCATACCGGTGCATGGTAGGTATTTCCTACCTGACATCCTGGGCGTTGCAGATCAACGTTTTCATGCCAACGAGATCACAACTGTTGGCTCAGCACCGCCTTGTCATTGTTACTGGGTACAGGCAGATTTCGTTTCTCTTTTCTTGTTCGAGTCGGACACACGTCATCGTCTTCCAAACCCTTGTTCATGCGACAAGACCAGGGCGATATAACAGGTGCCAAAATGCCACACATGAGACATTCAAGTCCAATAGGGCAAGCTATCCTCAGAAATGGAACATGGAAAAAAAAATTCAGCATCAAGTTAAATCGACTACCACTCGATTTGCAAGATTTGACTTGATTTCCAAGATCTAGGCAAAAAAAAAAAATCAAGAGCACTCTTAGAATTGTTCCTCTAGAAGGCATGTATGGTTCACGATTCATGTCAAACAACCCCCATTTGAATCTTTGGATTCACTGTCCCCCCCTCACGAATCAAAAAGGCAAATCACCAAAAGCCACGAACCACAGCGTAGGTCCTCATTGCGAAGTCGAATACCGAAAAAAAAGGCGACGTTCAGCTTTCGTCTCGGACACGTTGAAGGGCGAGGTGGATCTCCTCGTTTGATGCCCCGGAGCGAATGAGCAAGACAAGCTGAGCGACAGAATCGCTATGAGCGTCGCGCATGACGGCGACCAAGTCTTCCAGGAACTTCCGGTAGTAGTTCAAGTCGGTTTCCTGCTGGCAGATCTGCTGGCGGTGCTGAGGTGAGTCGCTGCTGTGCTCGCTGTTCTGGCTGGTGGTGAGATCACGAGATCTTAGATTTCGATCAATTAAGGGTTGTCGGGATGTCTTTTTTGTTTACGGGGAGGAAGTTGCGTTCGGGGAGAGAGAGAGTGAAAGGTAAGAGAGAATGGAGGACAATTTTTGGCAATTTGCCATTCAGGTGGATCAAGGAAGATGACTACTCACCTTGCTGGAATCTCGCTGGCCGACTCGGGCTGGCGGTCTCCTGGGCCTCCTTGGCCGTTCGTGGAGTTTTCTGCGGTGCGGTCTGACATCTTGGGGTTTGACTGAGACAGGTGTACGGCCAGGGGTTCTATTCCTATGTGAAAAGAGGCTTGGGGGATGGTTCTTTGGCTATCGTTGCTCGAAGCTGATCAGATGGGGAGTCACTGGGATCCGATCTGTCTCTACCTATCGAATATCACAACTTCAGAGCAATTAGCAACCGAACTACTGGGGTGGTTTGGGGGGGGGGGGGTGGGGGAGGAAATCGATCGATTCTAATAAAAGATGGTGTCAAAGTGTTTAAGAGGGCGATGTATGCATCTTGACAGGGTATGAGGGGTTGGGGGCACGGAGCGGTCGGCCATACGTGTTTATAGGCAAGTGTCACCCGACTTGGAGGAAGAGAGCTCTACTACACATAGAATTCGAGGAAGAGTAGGGAGACGGGACTCGAAGATGAACCTTGAGAAATCAAAGACGTAAAGGTGGGACCATTTAAAAGCACTTGAAGGTACCTGAGGGCCCGGGGCTCTTGGGAAGCCGAGTCCCAATCTGGAATTGTGGTGAGAAATATAAATCCTGGTACTACCAATTTGGGGCTCTCAAGGGCTGTCTTGGATTGACATTCGCTTGATAAATTCAGGATTTCGTTCAAACAGAGAAAAGATTCCAAAAAAAAAGTCAAAGAATTGCACTGTAGTTGTTCACAGTTGTCAAGAAATCGAGTCGGCCCCGGATAAAAGTGCCAGCCAATCGACTTGTCCAGGAAGAACGTTCAAAGCATCATATTGCGGCCAACCTAAGCCCATGACTTTGAAAGAAGTTTTTTTTTTCACCCGACTTTTGGCTGTGAGCTTTGGTCCTGCTGATTTGCTGGAAAATCGACGCGAAGTTGGAGGCCATGTATTCTGAATTGTCTTTGCATTCGTCCCCGGATTTGCCGACATCTTCCTCCAGTTTAATAGCTTCTTGATTGCAAAGAGGCAAAAGACATTCCTTCTTACACCCATGGTGACTTTGAACTTTGTTGAGGTTGCCGTGCGGTGGTACTGTCTTTCACACCTATCTCCCACTGTTCCAGATAGACCCCAGGAGATAGGAGCCAATTCGGAGTGCGAGGACTCTCCGGGTGGACTCGAACTAACTGCGAGTAAACTGACTGCATGCCTTTAGTAAAGATGAAATTTGACCCTCCATCTCGATGACTCCTTCAAACGCGTGGACCTTTCATTATACCCCGAGGCTGAAGTTGTGAATACTGGCTGTTGACGATCTGCAGAAACCTTGTTTTGTCAATTTCCAACCCGGACGGGTTTCTTGGGCATCCCTTAGACCGGGTAAGTTTTTCTTTTACACGAATGACACACTTAAAAGAGGTAAATTTCGCTCTGCATGGTCTGAGCAGGATTCAGCATTCACAGAAACCGTGTACTGACTCTTTCTTTCCAATTAGAGGACCCTTTGCTAGCGCCGCATTCCGTTTCTCCAGCGTCGGGACGATTCTAGCTCCCTGTTCCCTCTCTTCCTTGTCTGTTGACAATCAAATTCTTCATACTCATACTGTCGACATTCCCGTATACACTCGACCGCACCTATAAAGTTGAGCACGGGTTTTCACCAAGCATCGATCCCATGATCCGGAAGATTTCGTTCGCGGTACCACAACACCGATGGCTTTGCAGCTTAAGCATCACGCCTTGAATGTCTTGTGAAACTGTTTATGCATCAGTTGCTGGCTGCGTGGCGCAGAACAGGTGTCAAGATTACCTGGCCGTCCAGTAACGGGAGTCATAGACGCGGCTGGATGGGAGGGGCGCTTCACCAACACTTCCTGATGCTACTCAGTATGGTACCGTCTGGGTATAAGACTGGATACCACAACTCGGGGATATGACATGGAGCCAGCATTTGATGCGGAGTCTGGCGTTGATTTTGGTATGATCGACCCTAGTCAACCCAACCCCCAGCCCCCAACTCCAGGCTCGTGTGTCCTTCTCTGCGAGCGTGATGTGGCACCTATCCTTTATACCAGTGGTTTCGATTATTGGCCACACGGAACAGGTTGTTACAGCCGCAGGAATTCGTGTCTTGGGTCCGATGGACTATTCCATCTGGTTCAGCCGTCCCCTCCAGGGTACTTTGCGGGGTATTTATGCATGTGGATTTGATGAAGATGTTTCGACGAACGTGAACGGGGACGGGAAACGAAAGTAGGTGACTAGTGATGCAGTACGGGCCATGAGCACCGTCACCAGTTCATGCTTTGTGGAAGTCGTTGTGGGTCACCTTTGTGCATCAATGATGCATTGTGGATGGTTTTCTGGCCGTTCAGGTCAGGGGGCATGGTGGCTGTTAATTTTGCAAGCCATGGAAAAATTCCATGTCTGAAGACTGTCTTGGAGTCGAATTTTCAACTTGAGCATAGGGTCTCGTGGTCCCGGAGCACAGGTCGTGATGGGCATCGACGGTGGCCTTGTGCACGGCGAAAACTTGTCGTCGTGTCGTCGTGTCGTCGTGTCGTCGTGTCGTCGTGTCGTCGTGTCGTCGTGTTTCCTAGGCCCCATGAAGGCAGGCAACGCTGTCATCATCCGCTGCAACTTGTGGGTGACATCCGATCTGTCCGAGTCAGTCGTTACATAACATGATCGGTAACCTTCTCAGGATGGGAACTGCCCCATCTGGTCAGCTCGATGCACAAGGGAGGTTCTTTCTGTGGTCGTTTACCCGTCGATATGAGGGTTTCTTGTCGGTCACGGTGAGATGTATCATGGCAGGATAGAGATGACATTTGAGTGAGAAGTAGATACAGGGTCTACCGACTTCAAAGACGAAATGGATTAGGTTCGACACCTGACCTCCCAAGTAAGGATCTCTGCCACCAACTGATGCCTGACATTTTCTGGGCTCAATCTCGTCTTCAGAGTACATCTCTAGACTTTCCAATTGCTATTTCTCCCTAGCAGGACACATGCAGCTACCGTACGGATGGAAGTGTGCGGTCTTCTTTCTCAAGAGGATGGAAAGACAACTGGGAAGGGAAAGCCCCATCCCTCAACCCGTCCAATTGGATCCACCCGTGATGAGGAAAATAGTTCCAAACGAGGTTATTGGGGGGGCTCCACCGGCGCTCCAACATTGAGATACACAACGACCGTCAGACTTGCGTTCTATGATGTACACCCAAGGCTCGCAAGGATTTTGGAGACCGGACCGTGCTCCGCCAATGTGTGAAGGTCTTAACATCCATTGGAAGTTGTTGTGGATGTGAAGCCTTGAGAGAATGCCCTGTGATCGGGATAGGACGGAACTTCTTCAGGTCGCAGGTCTCAATACCGGCACTAGTTAATGCAGCTAGCTGGAACCAACGCTATATGGTGTGACGCTCTTCACAGTTGCTCTTGGTTTGACTACAGTGGTGTGCAGTGAGACCTCTGAGGATTGAATGGTGGTCAACTGAATGCTCTTAGTTCACCCACATATAGACTTAAGTGGCCCAGCCTACTTACCTACTCCAAAGAGTTGACCTAGCTAGTCTCTTTGCAAAGTGCTTTCATTGATGAATTTTTGTTCTCTAGGTCACCCACAGCTCGGTCAAGGGGATATGCATTTCTAAGGCTAACATATAGCCTAATATTTACAAAACACCGAGCAAACATCCATGGATGTTCTCAATGAGAGCCTAAGTTATCCACGAGGGGGAGAGAGAGCGAGTCAGTGGCTCATCATAGGCATCTCAGAGCATCCCATGCCGAGTGTCTTGATGCCAAAACTGGAAAGCCTTACGTAACTTCCTTACGTAAACATGACAGCGGCCAGGTGACGTTGAGATGTGCCATGTTGGGTTCCTGTGGTGCACCATGGACATCTAGACCCTATTCTACCTCAACCTACCTCAACATTCTAATGATGATCTTATATCGCTGAGGCAGTGCAAGCGGCTTTTACGATATCCTCAGGGGCAGGATTGTGGACTTTTATAACTATACTTGTACACGCGTGACACTAATCAAGGCAGCGAACCTCAGTTGTCCTCGTTGTCAATCCCCTCCCGCAGATGTTAGTATGAGCCAAGCTCACACCTCTCGCCAGGTCAAGTTCGGACTATTGAGCTACACTAAGCAAGGAACTAATTGTGTAGTTCAACAAACTTGCCCTATTCAGTTGATAAACCGTGTGATAACCACAAGTTGTGCATACCAAAGGAACCAAATTCTACATTCCACAGCTGCCCAAAAAATGCCACCAGCAACACATAAAAACAACCCTCCATTCCCAATGTCCGCAATTAAATACTCATAAGTAGCTATCATCCGGCACATTGATTGTGCATTCGCCGCTGACAATAACGACCATCGACAACCAACAACCAGCCGCCGTCCATCCACATCACGAAAAAGAAAAACAGCAGCGGCTAGGAAAACCCAGAGCTTGATTTGAACATGCATCTTTCCACCCTCCTTCTCCTCGGTGCCTCTCTCGCATCGGCACAATTCGGCCCAAGTGCTGAGGAACTAGAATACTTCAAACCCCTAAACGGAAACCTGAACAACGACCAAAATCCGAATCAGGCTCCGCGCTACAACCAAAACCCAAATTCCCAATATAGCGACAACGTCGATTTCGATGATGACTACGACTATCAAACCCCCGCACCGACTCCTCACACCCCAGCTCAAGCCCCAGTCCAAGTCCAAACTTCATGGCCGTCTCAGACTCACAGCACCTTCGTGGTGCGACCTTCCCAAGTACCCGTCGCTCCGTCTGAAGCCCAGATCCCGGCCCCTGAGTACGGCAATGACCCAAGCCCAGCTGCCTCGATGCCATTTGCAATGCCAGTCCACGACGCCCCCGCTTCTCACGCCCCCGAGTCTGCATCGCAAGATCAGTCCCAGAACTCACCTTGGCAGCACGCAGCCCCCTTGGGCTCAGAGGACGAGGATGACTCGGCCGGGACATCGGGCGGCATTGCACCAATCAACCTGCTAGGGCCTGATTCGCAGGTCGCACCTCCTCCCCTCTTCACTAGCCCTAATCATGGCAAAGATGAGGGGAACACTTTCTGTGCGGGAAAATGCTTTGCAGATGAGAGTGATACGAAGTGTGCTAAGCCTTATGTGAGTTTTTTTTTTCTTCTTCTTTCGTTATCTCTCTGCGTAAAAGACGTAGAGACAGATGTAGATCTCTCTTGTCTTTATGCCATCTGTGGGTGGATGGGGTTGCTAATGCTTTTTTTTTAAAAAATCATAGTCTTTGGCTGTCTATAAGCCAGCTGATGAGTGCTACATGTGCTGCTTTACTTCTGATTTCTAAGATTCCGGTTTGGACATTGAGGTTATGAGATTGTGGGAGATGAGGTAATTTGGTGTCTTTCTTCTATAATACAGAATGAGACAGATCTTGAAGATCTGAGGGTATTTCTCTTCCGTGGTCTTGAATTTGACTCATTATTTGCCTCGTTCCTTGTCGCTGCATCACCTGCCTGGCTAAGAAAACGTTCTTTTCTGTTAATTTCTTTCTTAAGCTGATGTAAGAGCACAACGAGGTAGAACGTCCTCTTCGACTGAAAACGACCAGTAGCCCTTTTTTTTTTACGCCACTGAGATTTCAGCCTGAACCCAAGTACGTGGTACATCACCTGCAGGCAGTACACGTGCACAGCGGATAAGCACCTTAGATTGGGTGGTAGTTGTGTCCACTAGCCAACGGGGTTGAATTAAAGTACTAGACTAACATTGCTTGATTTACTGAGTCTGGGCAGAGCGGATGGGAATATTTCCAAAGGTTTCATTGGGTCTAGATACCAGAGATGCCCGCATTAAGAAATCTATATTCACTGGTGTGCTAGATAGTAAAGAATTAAATTAAAGAGCAAAATCCATCAGATCATATCATTTTCGAGGTTGAAGAGCCACACCTAGCTCGGACCAAGTATCCAAAGAAAAGAAAAAAAAAAAGGACAAGCGACGGGGCAGAAGTAAACCGAAAGAAAACAAAGAAAAGAGAATCCAGCCTGAGACAAGCACAACTCATGTCACGGGACAGCCAACTGTCCATTTTTCTTTGTTCAAGTCAGTTCTTCATGCAAGTCTCGACGGGCCGGCCGCCGGTACCCCGTGCCATGCAAATAGGAGCAGAGCGTTTCTCATAAGAGTTATCTTCCCACACAGCACTGCTGGCAGGGAAGATGGAGCCACTGTCCGAGACACCGATGGGGCCGAGGTCCTCATGCGCAGAAACGATATGCGGGACAACCAGCTCGACGCCCTTGGTCACGCTCGTACCGGAAAAGTAGGGGTTGTGACGAGGGGGGAGCGGTCGAGCCTCGTACATGCTGCCCAGGTAGTCGGAGGCGGTGCTGCTGAAGGACGAGGCCACGGTGGACGGGGTGTTCGTCAGGCCGGGCACGTGGCTAGGGGCCACACCTCCAGCTAGGGCGGAAAAGCTGGAGCTGCTGCGTTGGACGGTGGGGCGGGAGAGCATGAGCTCGCCGGTGCCACGGTGGAACTGAGAAAGATAGTTCCATGCGTCGGAAGATGCCAGGGATGAGGCGCTGCGCACTAATACGGGCTTCCATTCGGTGGGGTCGAGATCTGACTTGGCATCATGCGCGTGGATAGGTATCCGCATGGCAGGGATGGAGTGGCTTGGCACCCTGGTAGGGGTCAATGGGGCCACGATTGTGCGTGGAGAGAGAGGGGGAGATGTGGGTGGTGTAGTGTTGGAAGACATCGAGGACATTGAAGGGAGTGATGCTGAGAGTGGTTTGCGGGAGTCTTTGCGGCGGCAACTATATAGATGAATGGACATGATGAGTATTCAAGTACGAATATATGATGCAGGTTCCACACCCAATAAATTTTCGATAGGGGAGGGCATCAATGGCTCTAAATATAGACCGAGGGGGGTACCACATACCTTTCGCTACAATATAACAAAGTGTTGTTGGGGACAGTGATTTGGTTCTCACACATGGCGCTGGAATTGGGTCAGCTTTATGTCCATTGAAGAACAGATCGGTGTATGGAACACAAATGACGGCAACAGGTATGTGAGGGAAAAAAAAAACCCCTGCAGGATTCAGAGATAAGGGCTTTGGAGTTAAAACACATACCAAAAGTTCAAGAAACTGGCCATGTCAAACTCGATATCGTCCGTAGACGTCGACGGCTTGCTCGCTCCCTTTTGTCCCGAGCCCAATTTAGAGATTAACACGTTGGCACCGGATGTCCCTCGTCGATGTAAAGCTGGACGAGTAGACTTGGACTTAGAGGCATGGGGAGAGGAAGGGGAACGGCGTTGAAAGGGGGCTGTTTGAGTCATGGGTGGCGGTGAAAGACTTTCAAATGCCTCACTTTCTTATCAAAAAGACTCTATCGCCGAGACTGGAGCCCAGACTGGAGCAAGTGTGGAGCACAAGGACCCCTGGGGGAGCACAGACTGAGGGATTTGTGTCGAAAGTCTTGATTCCACCTAGAATGTGCCGAGTCGGTACAATTGAGAATCCAAATGCTTTTTTTTTTTAAACAAAAAGTAGGAAGAAACACCGGAATATGTATATTTGAGAAACGTGAAGAAAAGAAATGCTGATAAGGTATTAATTAGCATCTGACACACACACACACACACTCGAGGGCTCGGATGTTGATGCAAGGCTATCTTTAGCCTGTGAGTGGGGAGAGATAAGAGGACAGATAAGGCCATACCAACGGTGAAATTTCTAGTTTCCAAAAAAAAATCTGTGAAGAATCTCTGAAACTAGAGGTAGTAAAAGTGGGGGACACAAAAAGAATCAACGGGATGAATTGGATGATAATAAATACAAAAGGGAAAAGCCCTGAGAGACGAAAGAGAAACGTGCTGATGCGGTAGGATGAGACGATCACGTCTAGACTTTTGGTAACCAAACTCGATCATGTATCTGAGAAGTCACTTTTGGCTGTCTCCAACCGGTAAAATGTACTTGTCAAATACTACCCGGGTCCCCGGGTACTTGCCCCAACACGCAATCCCTCCCCCCCCCCCCGATCTAGACCAGCTGAGTCACAAGTGACGAGCATCTTCAGGGCCACAAGTCGGTCTTAATATTTCTTGGTATGGCGTTCTGTTTCTCATCGGATCTGTCATTGAAGGATACTTCGTCATTTGCGACCTTTTCTCTTTTCCTACGTCTGAATCGCACAGATGTCGACTTCCAAGTATATGCATGCAGTGGTGACCATATCTCCGGAGGGGATCGGATCTGGCGTGATCGATAGACACCATTCCTCACAATCCAGATACATTTTGTTCAACATACCATATACCATGGAAGAGACTCCATTCTAAAATGACGCCATAAATACCTCGACAAGGATTGCATATAAACCCAGATGACATGACCTAGTGGGTATAATATACCCCGTCCCTTATTTACATCCCTTTACTTTTTTTTTTAAAAAAAAAAAAAACAAATTAGTACACAAAG